CTATGGTATCATCCTTGAAGCTGACGACACCAAACCAAGGCTCAAACAAGAAACTAGTGAACATGCCCGTCGATATGATCACCCACTTAGTCCGGTTCTGGGAGCGCAGGAGATCCCTCACATCAAGTTGCTCATCGAATAGATCCTGCGCGGAACCCCGTCCTATAGTATCGTAATCGACGCCAAATTGCCAGGGCACGTATCGAGGAACTTGAGCCGCCAGAACAGCACGGGCAAGTTTGAGCTGGGTGCCAGAGCCAGCTGCAAAGCCAGTACAGCCGATGATTGTATCGTATGCACCAAAGATGTCTGAGAGTTGCTTTTCGGAGTCGTTGGCAATGTCACCAGGAATAAGTTGCACATTTAGGTTGCGCAGTTCTTTGAGCTCCTTGACTTTGTTGGGATGGGTGGATGCGACGCTCGAAGGCCGTAGTAAAACAGCAATGGTTGCGCCATCTCGATGGGGATGCTGGGCGAGAGACTGTAAGACTTGATTGCCCAGTTCGCCTGCGCCAATAACGAGGATCTTCTCAGACATGCTCTGCTAGAAAATAAACTTCTATATTTTTCAGTGTGCTAAAGCAAGCCCTCATATGCGCAGAAGTTGTTGTGATATTTATAACTATATATTACCCATGTCAGCCTCGGACTTAAGTGGTTACATCCACGCGATTACGCATCCATGTGGACGTTTCAGGCCTCTGTTGATGTTTACAATGTATCACCACGGGCGAAACATTCATGGGTCAGTACGACTGAAGTCAGTCAATTGCAAGTCATGTAACAAATCTTGTTAGTTAATGTTTCTTGGGAAGGTTAGATTGGTAAGCAAGACCCTCATTCGGAGACTTTGGCTAAAAGTTACTCCATCTCCCAATAAAATTCCACGAAATACTAAAACAGTTTTAGAGGAGTTCAGCCTCCCTTCGGCAATCATCGCATGACTCTCATCCACCACTCCGGAGAGAACTCCAAGCTTGATTTAATCAAACCGCCATACTTACAAGTATGAGAATTGATGTTATTACAAACAAGTCAATATGGCAGGTGATTATGTGCGCCATGGAGCTTGACGCCTTCAAACCGTCAAGCTCAACAGCCAGCGGAGCTTGGTCTATAATTGATTTTGAGCTCGAACGTCAGTATTTCTCTTAGCGAAGGATATGTGTGCATCGCATGAAGCCGCGGCCAACCGGTCATCATCTCTCTCTGCGCATTCGTGTACTAGCTCCTGGTCCCGAAAGCGCATACCCCAGTCTGCTGATTCGAAGCTGGCCGTCAGTTGCGCTCACCATCCTCCTGCTATAATGAGATTACACCCCGTTCCGAATGCTCGACTGGTAGCGCAATATACACACTCCCCAGCAACTTGGATATACGTCCCTGTAACATGTCCGTCTGCCCAGAAGAGGATCATGGGCAGGTCTCCGGCCGTCCAGTGGTAGACCGTCTCATCATACCCAATGTGCAGCTTCTCGTCCGCTCGATACTTGTACATACTCGCCAGTGGACAACCATTAAGACTGGATCCCTGGATGGTCTTCTTAGGATCGGCTTGATTGCACCCGCATTGCACACCAAATACGCCCTGGCCACCAAAGGGAATCGGCCGAAAGTCGCCAAACTGCGATACCTTGCCTACCAGTTGGCCTCCTGGTGTCCTTTTGATACTGACGGCAATCGTCTCGAGCTCGGCAGCATAGTAACAGTTGTTCCCATGCACATCCTGTTTCAAGACATTTCGCCCCAAATTGCCCATTCTTCTTAGCAGCGGCGAAGGGACGAAGCTCTTTCCCACATCCTTTGCGAGTCCGATGGTGAAGTCCTTGGCCACCGAGCGGACATGTGGATGATTTTGCGGCCGGCGAAGGAGTGCTTCCGCCCAGCCGGATATCATGTAAATGGGTTCACCGTGCTTTGGACCTGCTCCACGGTCGATCTTAAACTTGATATTTGGCATGTCCTCTGCTCGGGTGAGTCGGGGTTTGCCGTATTCCACAACGCCGATTTGCACCAGCGAATGGTAGAAATTTGCCGCCAGCTCGGCAAAGTTCTCAAACGGATTCTCCAGACTCCCCAACAGTTGTCCGTTAAAGCTATCTGCCAAAGCGTAGCCTGTGAAGACAGTGTAATGCACTCCAAGCATGGCAGCAATATAGCGTCTCGCCACTCGTTCATAGTAACAAGCATGGGCCATCAGCTCAATCAGGTCGGCGAGACTCACCTCTCCCAGACCGCAGAACTGTGCCAGGCCGAGGATTCGGGCGAGGAGAAGATCATGATGTGCTGGCGAGCGCAACGACTTGCGGACCATGCTCAGCGCATACCGGCCCAGAACAGTCTTCGCGAGAGTCGGCATAAACTGGAAGGGGTTGATGCGTTGCAGCATCCATTCGCGATACTCCGCCGGCCACGTTGCTCCTAGGCGCTCACGGATAGCGGCGCCTTTGGACGGGGAGTTGAGATTTACGATGACCGGTTCCTGCAATCCGAATGATTTGAGGCGTTCGGCTGAAAGTCCGAACCGGTCGCGCGCACGACTGATGTCTGTGTATGCGGTGAAGAACAACCTCTCCACTCCGGCTGGAGTCATAAGCCATCCGACCCGGGCCGTTTTAGCCTCCTCCTGAGAGGCAGGTACAAGCGGTGTGAGATACCCCAGCTTGGTCAGGCGGACGAAAAGCGTCTGGATCTCCTCAAGGAATTGCTGACAGGCTGTGCGCTCAAGGTAGAGCTGGGTGATTTTTACTCCTCCCTGAACGAGCAGTTTGACCGCGGCGGAGAGAGGGTCTCTGTTGCTGTGTTAATGATTGCACCTTCAACAAAATGATCTCCGCTGACCCAGAGAGGAGGGCTTCTCCAACCAACTCAACTGCCAACTCACTGACATCCCCCATTTGGACTGATCAGGCCGGATGATGTCTTGAGCAAAAGTACCCCGTAAGCTGTCTGTGTTGGCGACCGTAGTGGGTCTACTGCCTGCAGACAGGGTGGAAAGAGGAACAAAAGGTCTCACGCTCAATGATCACTTTTAAATCACATTACTGGCCCTCAATTTTGCAGTCTTCAGTCTCGTGTTTACGCGCTTGGCCTAAAGAGAGTATAGTGGAAGGCTTAGGCCGCCTGAATACGAGGTTTTCCCATTTTAGTGAGCAGAAAGCTTCAACCAATCACTCCAGTGGAGGGAAGAACTGCTGATTCGCGGCTGGTCAGCATTTGATTTCAAGCAGTAACGCAGATTTCTCTGCACTCCGTACTCGATACAGCATAAAGGCTGCAATGGAAACTTAAAAGGACTGGTTAGCTACACACCTATAGTGCTCTTTTCTGCTCCATATACTAGGTCGGTTTGATATTGATTATGTAAGGAAAGGAAAAACCCAAAGACATGCATGGGGTAGATCGAATACTCTTCTACTGTAGGATTTCAGGGTTGTGAAGTTTAATATAATCTATGTAGAGTTTCAGTTCCTGGAATTATTGCAGATCCCCTGTCATATATACCACCGTAGCTTTGCAAGCAACGGTATGCTTTTATGCATAAGTATTCAATGGGGGGCTCCCACCTCGGTCTAGTGAATTCAAAGGAATAAGAACAATCAACAGTAGGAACAAGGCCAAGGCCAGCTAAGTATATTCTCAGTTGCCATAGTAGTAACTGAAGACAACTAGTGGGTCTATCCTCAATTGAAACGTTGTTGAACACAGATTAGCAAATGCAGTGATAATTGTACAAGTCCTTGTCTGGCCTTCCCTCTACTACCCCGGATCTATCTCCCTAAATACTCCTTCCAGGGTAGATTATTCATTCGTGAAATCCTGAAGCGTTTCCCGCGAGCACGCTGTTCCCTGACTTGAAAGACATTTGTTTCATGACCCAGTCTCCTTGTTCGCCGGGTTTTGAAACTTGAGAAGACATCTCTAACGATGTACTGGTGAGAAGCAGCCTCGGCGTCGGTCGTTGATTCTTGAAATCTCACATACTTCGGCATCCTTGTTCACACATTCCGAACAGCGCCATATCAACGTTGAAGAGGCGCAAACGACGGGCGGTTTGGAAGGGACAGGGCGCCTGACGTGGTCTCGGCCAGTCTTCTGCCTTGTCCGAGAGGAGGCATCGAGTTTAACACGCTACTCCCTAGATTTGTCAAAAACGCGCATTTGGTACCATAATATAACTGCAACGTCTGAGCTCTACGTAGCTGCTAAGTTGTTAATGCAGATCGTAAGCAAGAACGGGAGGCCTAATCTGGGACAAAGGATCAAATCCCGGAGAGTGGCCAATTCTAGTTGCAGATCCCCACAAATATACCAGAAGCGTCATTGGAGCGTGTTTAATGATACAAGAATAGTATACTTTTAGGAGTAGGGATCGCCGAGCGAAGAGGAGCATGCAGCGCCTGATTTTAGTGCATTGAGGCTATGGTGACTGCTGAATGATAACTGAACCTCAGGATTACAGTTGGCAACTCGGCATGCTAATTAAATGTTGATTTTCAATGATGAGAGTCTTGGGAAGGGCAATGACTTACGACTTGCTTTTGGATCTTCTGCCCAGCTATCGTACTGACAAGCATAGGAGGTCCTCTTCACCGTCGCAGCCAATTCTTATGCCTATATTCAATATGTCTCAGAAGGTTACACGACATAAGCTATGTAAGCTGAGAATTCAAAGGTGGGCCCTGTAGACACTGGCACGATGCAATAACCAATGCCTCACGTCTCTAAGCATAACAGACTGCTGGTAAGGCCGTCAGGCGTCCAATTAGGCGTGCTATGATGTATAGATCGACTCTTGATTACTTCATTAGATAGCAACATATGACTTGATCAACATTGAAGCAGGAGGGCGTTGGGGTATAAGAAGGTGGACAAATCCGCCCCTAACCTGAGCGTTTATATCATTCAATTCACCAGTATCTCACACTGATTCCAACCCTGATCCCGATCAATTTCTCTGCAACATCTCTGTCTCTTTAAACTCATAAATTATCGTCATCATGGTCAAGATCGCCATTCTCCCTCTCACTGTTCTTGCTGCACTGGCTCCCTTTGCGGCCGCAGACAACTGCAAGACTGGGTTGAACTACTGTGGCTATAACCTCTTGAACATTGGTATGTGAACTTGCCACTCCCGTTCAGACCCAATATAACTAACGATTTATTCCCGGCAGGCAACTACGGCGCCCAGGTCAATGGCGCCCTCGAGTCTGCCGGCCAGCCCACCGACGACGGGCATATCCGGGAATCCCTCTTCCACTGCAATGGTGGCAAGAACGGCGATATCTCCTTCATCACCTACTGCGGCGGTGGCTGCACTGATGGTGGCTCTGGCCGCAGCGACTACTGCTGAAGAGTTGGCCGCACATTGCTATCTTGATTCACAAGGGAAGGTGTGATATGGATGTGGATGTTGCACTTAGATCTACCCGCTTTAGTCATATTCAACATGTGGTAGAGCGGGAGGCCTTGGGCTCTTAAGAAATGAAATTTTCCTTGGATTTTGTTGCTTCATGCCATATGGATAAAGCATACGATGATACGAACATGGTATTTGTATCAGCTCCAAATTTGCCATTGTCGGTATCTGAGAAGTGTAAGCCTCTCGGGAATGGATCTACGTAGTAGCAAAAAGAACACTCCACAGCCTCTATAAGATTATGGAATTATCTCAGGAACCCCACTGGGTCAGCGGTTTATACAGCGGAACCATTTAAGCTTAGCACCCACCACAAGATTTGTAAACTCAAAGGACTTTCCCTTTTTCTTCATGCCAGTTCTCTTTCGGCAATCATTACGCTTCTGAATGGAGCATACATGTCACATTATATCCTTGCTCCAATGAAATAGTCCGCCAATACGGCTTTTATGTGCGCTCTGAGGACCACTGGAAGTGGTCCTTATATATATGAAGTTACGTGGTTTCTAAACTTGAATACAACCACATAGACTCTGCCACTCAGCTCAAAGTTGCTATGGATAGGGTTCGGCCTGGGGCCTGAACAGCAGCGGATAAGTTAGCCGCAGAGCTTTTGATATCCCAGCGACGAGGACAATCCATAATTCTATTTATCGGACCACTGAAAGAATGAGGATGTCTCCATGTAGAGCATCGGTCATGAGCATTAAGCAAATATCTACGGCTACTATCGGCCTAAGCAAAATGCATATATGTGCTTCCCGTATTGCCAGCACAACCACACCTAGAATTAAATCAACGCACGCCCTGCGGGGGACAAGGATGAGTCATACGAATTAATTGCAAAGGATACAGAAAATGCATAAAATATGGGATATTTCACCTCTATGCCTCTGCTTTTGAGGTCATTTAGTAAAATATTGATAATCCAGCTTCACAATAATTCACAATGAAACTTGACACATTTGAGATTGATCATGTAAGAGATGTGGAATTTGGCAGAGATGCAAATAAACTGATTTTGGAATGCAATAGTGGATTCTGACTCGCAGTCCTGGAGCCAAGCACAATCTTGCCCATTCATATTCCCATCCTGTCACTATCCAGGAGCTCAGCTCGCTAGGTAACGACTCTGTTGAATATGCTGATAACCCCTTGGCCACGACTCTGTCGCTGCCAATGAACTATGGTCCATCTTTCACAGGCCTTGAAGAGCTGCGCATGAATATAGCTGCATTGTACGCCAGTGAATCAGAGGCTGCCATATCTCCCAACGACATCATCACCACACCTGGTGCATCGCTGGCAAACTTCATCGTGTTCTTTGCGCTGGTCGGACCTGGGGATCATGTCATTGTCCAGTATCCGACTTACCCTCAGTTATTCTCTCTTCCAGCCGGTCTGGGTGCGGAAGTGAGCCTCTGGCAAGCAAGGGAGAATAATCATTGGCAGCTGGATTTGGAGGAACTGGAGCGTCTCATCCAGCCCAATACCAAGATGATTGTCTTGAAGTAAGCGGTCTCCTCTCTTTCTCATGTCGAGTCTATTCATTTGACGCTCTCGTCCTCAGCAACCCTCAGAACCCCACAGGCGCCGTCATTACCAAGTCAACTCTTGGTAAGATAGTCGACCTGGCCCGGCGACACTCCATCACCGTCTTCAGCGATGAGATCTATCGCGCACTGTTCCATTCAATCTCGCCGACGGACCCCGAATATCCCCCGTCCCTGCTCTCGTTTGGATACGAGAAATCAGTGGCGACATGCTCACTCTCGAAGACATTTTCCCTCGCCGGGATTCGCGTGGGCTGGATTGCTTCTCACAGTTCATCCATTCTCGATCTCTGTCTCAACGCGCGCTCCTATACGGTTATCACAGTCAGCCAGATCGACGAGCGAATTGCTGCTATGGCCCTCGAGCCTGTTCGTCTGCAGGCATTGATGAAACGCAACCTAAGTCTCGCAAAGCACAATCTAGAAGTTGTGCAATCGTTCATTGATCAGCATTCTTCGATCTGCGAGTGGGCTCGTCCAGTCGCTGGACCAGTCGGGTTTGTCAAATTTAGCCGAAACGGCGTGCCTGTCGATGATGTTGAATTCTGTATCCTTGTTCTCGAAAAGAAGGGTGTGCTACTCGTGCCGGGATCAAAGTGCTTTGGAGATATGTTTAAGGGTTATGTCCGACTGGGCTTTGGGCAAAGTACCCAGGATTTGGAAGCTGCGTTGGAGGCGTTAGCAGCTTTCATTAACGAGGATTATGAGGTGGTGCCCTTGGCTGAACAGAAATGACCAGGTTGAAGTCTCCAGGCATCAGGAAGATAAGTATTATTGTTTGTCCTGTCCTCGTTAATTAGTATCTAAATATCATAAGTCTAAAGATTACATATTATATCATGTATCGCGGCGTTACTTGTTACTCCATCCAGCACCATGGTCAATAGAGCGGATTATGTACATCCCGAGAACCTCGCTCAATGACCTCGTCTACGTTCCAGCGTGGGGGACTGATTCGTTTCCGGGCATCTCTAACACTCAGTCCCGGAGGTAGCGGTTCTTTTAATCCTCCAGCCACGCCTGTGGAATACTTTAAGCCCAGGATATCACCGACCTCGTCACATACTCGGAGTACGTGGTCAAGATCATCCTTCGTGTGAGCAGCAGAAACACATAGTCGGGCTCGAGACAGCTCCAGTGGGGTGGCTGGATAGGTCACCACCACGACAGAGATCTTCCGTCGCAGCATCTCATGGGAGAATGCTGGCATCTTGGCCGGGTTGTACAGCATTAAAGGCACAATGGGCGAATCATCATGTCCGTAAACTATAAAACCCAGCCTCTTTAGGCCCAGTCGCAAATATCGAGAATTAAACCCAAGTCTCTGTACCCGTTCCAGGCCCTGACCCGGGTGAAGAGGATCCTCATCGGCGATCAGTCGCAAAGAGGAGGAGATCTGTGCCAGGACGGCAGGAGCAGGGGCCTCGCCGAAGACTTGTCCAGCATTTGTGGCACGGAGTTTCTTAATGAGGGTCTTGTTTGCCGCGATATACCCGCCATTGGCACCAAAAGACTTGGTAAATGTACCCATGAGAATATCGACCTCAGCAGGATCGACTTTGAAGAAATCGCAGACTCCCCGCCCACGGGGCCCGACAGCACCGATGGAGTGAGCTTCATCAACGAAGAGGTAGAATTTATATCGCTTTTTAAGCTCCAAGATGCGAGGCAGATTGCACATAGTGCCTTCCATAGAATATAGACCTTCAACCGAGACCAGGATCTTCTTCCAGGGTCGGTGGGTGCGTGGTTGGCCCTGGGAGATGGCCTCTCGAAGACGTCTCTCCAGATCCGCCATGTTGTTATGCGCAAAGACTTGGATGGCAGCTCCTGAGAGACGTGCCCCGAAGCGAATGGACGCATGATTGAGTTCATCCGAGAGGATCAAGCATCCCTTATCCATGAGGGCAGGGAAAATCGTGGCATTGGTAACAAAGCCCATGGAAAAAACAATCGCAGCCTCCTTGCCCACGAACCGCGCAACTTGTTGCTCGACCTCGGCATGAAGCTGTGGGGTGCCGGGGTCGGCAACTGAGCCAGCCATGGTGATTCCACTTTGACGGATAGTTTCTTCGGCGAGATCAGAACAGGGACCCTCGGACTGCGCGAATCCCAGATAGTTGTACGAGCTAAGGTTCAACGTGTCCGTGGTGGTCCCCGTGAGCCGGAAATGGAGGTTGTCATCCGATTGCTGATCCAACAAAGTGATATATCTCCCTGGAACCCCGGTGGTCGGTCGCTCGAAACAGTCATTGATCCGCCGCTTCATGCGTCGTGTATAGAAGCTCTCGAAATCACTGTACAACGAGGCATAGCCATTTTGCGGGCGGAGGTGCTTGTAGGTGTGAGATCGGAAGTACTTGTCGCAAAAGTCATGGAAGTGGCCAAGGAAGATTAAAACGAGGAAGCTGATGTAGGTGGTGAGAGCGGTAAAGTATGGCGGCTCGTCGAGGATCGGGTCGGGGATTTCACCCCCGCTGTGTTTGCTCACGTAGAGATGCGATGGATCGCCAAGGGGGCCAAACTCGGCGTGCTGCTTTGCGAGTCTCTGCGCTTCGGCTGCATTGTAGATCTCACTGGAGACTGCTCGAAGAGAGGTAAGGGCGATCGAGTGAGGTTCAGATTTGCTCCGTCCGTACTCGCCTGCTGCGGTCGATAAAGCTTGCGGGCCAGTCACGCTGGTCGAGGGTTTCTGTTTGCGTTTCCATCGTGGCATGATGGGAAACCAACCGAGATTGTGGAGGAGAGATCCCGTGGTGGATAAGCAAAGTAATGAATGTTGATGGAGTTTTGGGTTTGGGAGATGGGAATACCCGTCCGTGCCGGTAGGGAAACCTGAGGCAGCCAATGTCCACATGCCGACTTCCGAAAGTTCCGATGGCTCTGTCTGATTGGTTGAGCGACGCAGGCAACCACAAATCCCTCATCATCAGGATGCAAACAACCTTAGACAGATGAGATTGCTATGACAGTGCCTACGCCATACTCTGTATTAATGAGGTTCCAGGGCAGCTTCCAGTGCTCATCTCTGACCAATTTGTCAAATTCTGCATTTCCATCTGGATTCTGCTAACCTCCATCCAAGGCAGCAGCAGGTGTTCCATTGGTTCAATATCATGCAATAATGGATCCTGTTCTCAGGTCCATTGAGGAGTCGGACTTCCGGCGGAGCGCTGTGAGTTAGCAGAGGGGTATGGGTCCATTCAGAGCATTAGATGTAACATTAAGAAGACTAATAAATCCTTCTGATGGGTACCGTAATTACAGGATTGGCTCACCCAATCACCCAGTGAAGATCATCATGATCTATCATACAAGCTTGCCAAGCGGGTGAAGCTTTTGCTCCATAATCCTTGGTGTTGCGTTTCCTAATAGGATAGA